AACCAGTTTAGAGTTGTTCTGAAAGAAGACCTCAGATTCAAAGGCCATGGTCAGGACAGGCCTTCTTCATCCTTTTAGACTTTAGCTACCATTCTGATACTTTTAACTTAAAACTAACCTTTGGCTACTTTTAGTTTTTAGCTGCAACATTAGTTTTTAGCTAACCCTTTGCTACTTTTAGTTAACCTTTCGTTGCTTTTAGGTAGTACTTTGTGAGCTTTATTAATATTTTGCTCTTAACTGATCCAAATGACATGATTTAACCTTTTTTTGTTATCTACCTGGATGATTGAGCCTACAAACCTTTTTTTGTTGTTGTTGCTCTTTTAAGCTTTCAGCTAACCTTTAGCCTGAACGACTAGTTAAAGTTTCTTTAACGAATTTCAGCTATCTCAGCATTCCTGCTGGATTTTCACAGAAGCTTTATGTTCTGTAGATTTATCCGTACCGTGGCTCTGACAGCTTGTTGTGTTCATCATAGACGGACACACGAGCTATGATTATAGATTAAATGCTAAAAAAGAACTACTTTCTGTGACTTGATTTTGGGACTCCCTGTTCCATTAATCTTGATTTCCAGCAGATATTTTGATGCATGTTAATCTGTCATGCTTGCTATGACTCTTTATAGCCATATCAAAAGGATTCTTTCATGGTATCTTGGATGAAAATTAAAAACACAGATATTTTTTGCACTTTATGGAGTTTTGTCCATTATCTTGTATCTCACAATCTGTCAGAATAGACCCTAAAAATAAAAATTTGTGTATAATTGTAGCTTTATGTGTAAGTATACAGTAATGTACAATAATTTTATGAAGACGTGACTGTGAAATGCATTTTGTCCGCCTCTATAGAATAAGAAGATCACAGGATCATTAATGTTTAACCATAACATAATGCACTTGTTCCCAGTGGCTTGGGATCTGAATCGTCACATAAACAGACTCCCAGGAGAGATCCGAAGGATTACAGGATTATTTAGTGGAGCAGAAACACCCCCACACACTCCACACACAAATAATAATACACATGCAACAATATGAGCCAATGAGCTCTTTATAAAAATTTATTTTAAAGGCTCACAATGAGTCAAACCTCAGTTTTCCGCTGCCTCTGTTTTCTTTAAATGTGTAAAAAGGCAATAATTCACCCTTAAAACTGTGTTTTTATTAAAATGTTTCCAATAAAAGCAGTCTGATGGGAAAAATGAAATGTGCTCATGCAGAAACAGAGATTTTTACTGATTAATTAATTGACGGTAATGAAACAGCTGTGATAATCTGTTGGGCTGCTGTACTCACACATATCTTAGAAGACGTGACACATTTTATTCTGCTCCCCTTCTTGCTTCACAGCAGGACGTTTTTATTTTACCATACAATGCTATTTTGACATTTTTACAAAAGCTTAAAGGCCTACAATGTTACACACATCAACAATGTGCAGTCCTATCTGCAAAAAATATATAATAAAATTTACGTTTCACTTGTGTGATGACCTGAAGCTGACATTTGTCACTTCTCTGTTGAAGGTGGATTGATTTATAAATACATATACAACATCCAAAGAAAATTGACACATAGTTCACTCAAGTCTTACCAGGAAAATGGGGAATGTGGTACAGAGGTGAAAAATAACTCCTCCTCCACCATAACCCTCAGCACTGGCTCCCCTCAGGGCTGTGTGCTGAGCCCTCTCCTGTTCACTCTGCTCATGTATGATTGTGCACCTACCCATCCAGGCTGTCATATTGTAAAGTTTGCAGATGATACAGTGGTGGTGGTGAGATGCATCACAAACAACAAGTCCAGCTACAGGCAGGTGGTGGAACACCTGGAGAGCTGGTGCAAGAAGAACAACCTTCACATCAATGTGAAGAAGATGAAGGAGATGGTCGTGGACTTCAGACGAAACAGACACACCTACCCCTGCTGAACATAGGAGGATCTGCAGTGGAAGTGGTCTCTAGTTACAAGTACTTGGGTGTACACCTGAATGACAACCTCAACTGGGGCAACAACATCACCAGCCTGATCAAGAAAGCTCATCAGAGACTCTACTTCCTTAGGCGGCTGAGACAAGCTGGTCTGGGAAGCTCAGTCCTCACCTCCTTCTTCAGGTGTGCTGTGGAGAGCATCTGTGCTCCAGCATCAATGTGTGGCATGGAGGCTGCACAGTTGCAGAAAGAAAAGCTTTGCAGAGAGTGGTGAAGGCTGCACAGAAGACTGTTGGAGTCAGTCTCCCCACCATCACAGACATCTACTCCTCCAGATGCAGGAAGAGAGCCACCTGCATCATGAAGGACCCCACTCACCCAGCACACACACTTTTTGCCCCGCTCCCCTCAGGCAGGAGGTTAAGGAGCATTAAGTGTAGAACCACTAGACTGAGGAACAGCTTCTACCCTGAAGCTGTTAGACTCATGAATCTCTAACTAGAATAATCACTGCAATGCCACTTGATTGTGGATATTATTACTGTTTTTCTTTTACATTTTGTACTTTTGTTGGATGTAACTGGAACCCTGTGTACACAATTTTGTTCCACCACATGTACTACATGTGGTGTGTATGACAAATAAAGAACCTTGAATCCTTGAATATGTGCTGCTGATTATCCATGCTGCTGATCTTATGCTGCTGATTTATTTCATGCTGCTGTGTTCATTCGTACTCATCTGCTCACACAGACTCATGTTCGTGCTGCTGTTGTTCGGCATATTGTTTTTGCACTATTAGTGTTTAGCATATTTCTTATTTCATATTTTAGATCTCTTATTACTGTTTTTCTTTTACAATGTATACTTTTGTTGGATGTAACTGGGAACCTGTGTACACAATTTCGTTCCATCACATGTACCACATGTGGTGCGAATGACAAATAAAGAAACTTTGACTCAGACTTTGAAAAAAGAGAGTCCAGGAAGGAAGGAGTGGATGGAGAAACGTTTCAGGAGTGATTTGTGACAAAATGGTGTTGTATAACTATGAAAACTATACCACTTTTTGCATGAACACTTTTTTTGTTTTTAAGAATGGTAAAGTTTAAGTTTTTATTTTAATTTAATTTTTTATTAAGAACAACAATTTATAAACAAACCAAGACAAACAATGTTAAAACAAAGTAACAATTAAATTTCACAGGTTGCGTTGTGTACGTGGGTATATGTGTATATATGGGAGACTGCAATGAAGTAAAGATTCAACGTGTCTGCTGGCTTCATTCCTTAGACAGAGAACAAATGCTAATTGGCTTTTCTATGTGAATGTTCCTGTAAAGTGCCCTGAAACAACTTTGTTGTGATATGGTGCTATATAAATAAACTGAATTCAATTGAAATTTCATTGAACATTCAAAAAACATAAAAAATACAAAATAATACAAAAAATTAAACTAACAAGAAACAAGTGTAAAGGTTTATATCAAACTGAAGTTATTAATCAAAAGTGTAAAGTTGTTGAGCAGATTTACTTTTAACCAAAGTAAGAGACTCACAAAAACCTTTCAGGTAGTTTTCCCAATGACATAAATTTGGGTTCACCTTAAATTTCTACATTTACAAAAAAACTTTCCTAGTAATATTGTTATTAATTAAAAATTATATTTTAGACATTTGAAAATAAAACTCCGGTTTCCTCCCACAGGCCAAAAACATGCATGTTAGGCTGATTGGTAACTCTAAATTGTCCCTAGGTGTGAGTGGGAGAATGAATGGTTGTTTGTCTCGTTTGTCTCTATGTGGCCCTGTGATGGACTTGCGACCCGTCCAGGGTGTACCCCGCCCCTCGCACAGTGATTGCTGGACATGGGCACCAGCGACCCCCGTGACCCAAAATGGAATAAGCGGGTAAAGATAATGGATGGATGGATGGACA